AACTGTATTTAACGTGATCTCCTCACTGAGATGAAAGAGTATTAAAGGAAGAAATCCAGTAAGTCTCCCTGAAACGGTCAGCCTTAGTACAGTCACCTGAAATGCTCTCGACTTAAGGCCTGGATAATCAAGAGCATTTCAGGTGAGTGTACTAAGGCTGAAGTTTTTAAGAAATTTTGCAAGTTGGATTCGAAAGACATATGCTATCCAGGTGCAAAGGTAGATTGTTCAAGCATAGGGATAAAAGAATACAACATTCCCCTGTCCCTCAGGACCTGGGCTTCAACAGTGGAGAGTGTGTCCGAGCTTAGATGAGGTCCAAGTAAAACATCCACCTGGGCCAGTTCAATGTGTAGTAAACACTCACCAGATTAGCCTCCATCTTGACCCTGCAGAGCAGGTGACAGAGGAGTTTCAGAGGAGGCACAGATCAGGTTGAACTGATCTCACATAGACACACAGCTTCCACTGTGAGGCCGGAGAACCCCTGATCCACTTCTCTTTGAGCTGTGAAACTTCTGGATCCCCCCTAATGGCTGATGTAAGCTGCCCTGATGTTCAAATTAATCTATGTTAAATGACCCTTGCAGAAGGAGATCCAGCGTTAAAGGGTTAGTCAAGGCTCTGTAAACTCCAAAATACTGAGGATATGAGCTTCCTCTGACAACCAAATCCCTTGTACTGATGAGAGGCTTTTTAGGACTCTATCCCAACCTGTCAGGCAGGCATCCATCCATCCATCATGGGAGCCTTTCAAACCAATAGGATGAAAGATTTTCCTGACTCTTGATTCACCATTAACCATGGCAGAGTAAGCCTGGTTTTGCTGGACAAGTATACGGGACAGTCCAGAGACTGTGCCCTCTTGTCCCATGCTGTCAGAATGTTGAGTTCCAAAGGTCTAGAACAGTGGTTCTTAACCTGGGTTCGATCGAACCCCAGGGGTTCGGTGAGTCAGTCTCGGGGGTTCGGCGGAGGTGAAGACCCACACCCGACTCATATGATTTGTGCAGTAAATATTCATTATTATGTTTTTGTTTTTGTGTGAAAATCATGTTTTAATGGTTTTGTTCTTTGTTCTTAATGGTTTTGTTCATTTTGTGCACCTATGTATAAATATATACCTAAATATATACCTATGTTTTGAATTTTAAAAATCATATTTTATTTTTCCAATTAAGAAGGGTTCGGTGAATGCGCATATGAAACTGGTGGGGTTCAGTAACTCCAACAAGGTTAAGAACCACTGGTCTAGAATGAAATTGGGCTTATAGAACTGCCCCAATGGAGAGAACCATTAGGTCAGCATCCTGAAGCAAAAGTTGAAGGTTGGTTGGCAACTGGAATGTAGAGTCAGTTAGAGTGGAGTTAGTCCAGGGGAAGGAAAACCTTGGACTGGGCCGTATTCAGTATCAGGCACAGACATTGCAAGCAAAAAGACTACTCCAGCACTTATTTCTGGAGATTTAGGATCCAATTTAATCTTTGTAGGGTCTGCATTGTCTGTCGGACATTGGCTGACAAAGCAGGAGTCGGTTGTTCCCTCAAAAGAAGGTCTTCTAGGGAAAGCTTTGACATTGAAGCATAGCAAGAACAGTAGCTAGCACCTTAGTGAAGACAAAGAGTGTAGTGGATATGACAAAGGGAAGGGCAACAAACTTGTAATGCTGAACGCCCACAGCAAAATACCGGAAGAGCTGATGCGCCAGAAAGATTGGAAAATGCAAGTAGGCCTCCTTGATGTCCACAGAAGGTCCTTTAGATCCTATACTGGACAGGGTGGTTGTCTCCTTTGGCCTTAGGGGTGGTGAACAGGTTTAAGTAGAAATCCATGAACCTCTATATTCTGGGACAATGGCTATGACTCCTAGTGAGAGGAGCTGAATCAGGGCAGCATGAAGGTCTGCCAGTCATGGGGGAATGCAGTTGAGAACGATAATGTGGATTAGACTGAATATTTAGCATGTATCCTTCTGGACAAAAAGGTCTGAACCCAACGGTCCAAGATGGTGTCCACATTGTGAGCAGGAACTTTGCGCATAGATTTAAAAGACTGGGAGGGGGTCCTTGCTTTATGGCTTTGCCTTGGAAGGCTAGAAGAAACAAAAGGGACTCTTCCTAGTCTTCAAAGTAGAGGGCTTCTCATAAGGAGATTTAGCCTTCTTTTTTCAGGAGCATAAGGGTATGGTGTCTTCCTTAATAAAACTGTCCAGGAATTCACCAAAAAGGCATTCTCCATCAAAGGGCACAGCAGGAGGTGCTTGTTGTACTAACACTCCAAAGATCAACATTTAAAGTTGTCGTAAACCCTTACATATACCCAGTGAAGTGACTGGCCTCAGGTGACACACAGAGGTTAAACAAATCCTCCTACATAAGTTTTACTTGTTTATCTGCAGTCTTCTCTCTTCCACATCCTTTCAAAAAGCTGAATTAGATAAAATCCTTCACAGAGGAGGGGTGGGAAGCAGCAATTAGTGCTCTCGTAAACTGTGTGAGAGCTGATTGGAGGAAAGGGTCACACCCCCCCTCCAAACACTGCACAGAAAGGAAGGAACATGCAGAGCTGTGTTGTGAGTACACAAGCTGGGTTCTGAGCTCCCTTCCCTTTATCTTGGCTATCAGGAAAACTTCCCAGAATCGACACATGCTGATAACAGAGGAAGGAAGCATCAAGTAAAAATTACACTCCAGCTTTGGAGACAGACAAGTAAACACTAGAGATATACAGTATGTGCTTTGTTCAGATTTCATGGCTGAGGTTTACAACCACTTTAAGCCAAATGTTCCTCTGACTTTGTAGTGAAGGGAGCCATATTTTTGCTGTAGGTTATCTACTAGCCTGGCAAACACAATAGAGTAGGGCTACAGGTATAAGCACTAGCTACCGGAGAAGGATCCATTAGTACAGATCCATTTTCCATGGACAATCCTTTGACTCAAAGACATGATAACAAAGGCAGGTTGTCCGGCAAGACCTGCAAGCCTTTAGAAAAGGCTTCAAGTTTTTTATCCACCAGGTCCTTAATTCCTTCCCGCTCAGACATATTACAATTTATTATGATGGCCGTGTAGGATCCCTATTATCCTGGGAGGACGTCACATGATATGCTCCCAGGATAGGGCAGCACTCCGGCACGATCTGTCATGACTGATCACTACACTGGCCCGCTGCCAGTGTCTTGTTATCACTGTGACCAATCACAGCAGATCACATGACAGTGGTAAACAATGAATAGCTTCCCTTCATGCCATTCATTGCTTACAACTGTGTTGCTACCTGTGACTGGTCACAGTGATCACATGGTACTGACAGGGCCAATCACAGCCCATCTGTATCATGTGATCAGCTGTGGCCAATCACAGCTGATCACAATAACTACTGAATGAATCAGTTTAATTCAGTAAAAAATGGTTGTTTATACCAGTGAAGTGAAGTAGTATAAGCAATCGTGTAAAAAGAAAAAAAAAAAAAACCAGATCGCGTGCCCACAATGTAATTAATATAAATAATGTCTGCTCTACTACAGCTTCTAGGAATAATACAGGATCTGTGAATGAAGAACAGGCAAATAAATAATAGCTTATACAAAATAATTAAATAAAAGCGAGCGCTATCCGGAAAATCTGAAAGCGGCTAGAACACCAAAAGGTAACCAAGAGAAAACCTTCAAAATAAAGTACATAAACATATATATATAAAGACCATATATAAGGTGCAGCGCTATAAATAACATATAAAACACAAAAGTGCCAATATCAAATCACACTGCGGTGAAGTTAGATGAGATGAATAATAGTCTTAAAATAAATCAGAAGTGGGGATCCAAACGATCCTAATAGGTGCGTGGGATAAGATTCTGTGCAGCACACGGTGACTCTGAGGTAAGAATTACGCACTCACCAGAAGTGCGTCAAAAAAAAAAACGCATGTGGGTTTTATCCTGTAATATCAGAAAACGATCATCCGTTTCCAAGATAGAATCCTACACCTTCCAGATCGCCCCTTGGGTATGTGCATTAGGGGGCTGCATTATCTGGACGTCTGACCACCGCTGGTGGTCATCCTTTACAGTATCTGGTCAGTGTTCTATTCTATTTTACTGCTTTGTATTCATTTTCATGCTGCATCTTCAATAAACCTAGCTCATACGGTATTACACTATGTGGTGTCCCTTATTGGGCTCTCTTCTATGAGAGTCCCCACTTGCAGAATCTGCCTTAAAAGGGGACCCCGGATGGTGATATGCCTGAGATGCGCTTATGAAACTTGAAGCACATACCCAAGGGGCGATCTGGAAGGTGTAGGATTCTATCTTGGCAACGGATGATCGTTTTCTGATATTACAGGATAAAACCCACATGCGTTTCCCCGCCCCCCCCCCCCCCCCCCCCCCAACCCAACCACCCCCCCCCCCACCACACCCAACCCCCCCCCCCCCCCCCCCCCCCCCCCCACCCCCCCCCCCCTTTTTTGACGCACTTCTGGTGAGTGCGTAATTCTTACCTCAGAGTCACCGTGTGCTGCACAGAATCTTATCCCACGCACCTATTAGGATCATTTGGATCCCCACTTCTGATTTATTTTAAGACTATTATTCATCTCATCTAACTTCACCGCAGTGTGATTTGATATTGGCACTTTTGTGTTTTATATGTTATTATAGCGCTGCACCTTATATATGGTCTTTATATATATATGTTTATGTAAATAATAGCTTATCTCCCCTAAATTCATAGAAGCTATAGTATGGTTTTCTTTACCAATAAACTAAATACCTGTCCGCTGGAAGCTGCAATTGTGTGATCTAAATGGGTAATTGTTTATTAACGTAAAAGAGAAGGTAAATTATTATAAAATCCACAAAGGGTACAAAAGAGTGAAAGCACTTTTGCAGCATGCCAATAAATATAATTTAATCCTGAGAAAGGAGATTAGTGCAGTAATAAACTGTGAGATGGAGGTTATAACCCCCCCCCCCCCTTTGCCTATTACTGACCTGTTCAATAAGACGGATGATGCTGACACTTTCCTCCTTTCTAAAGGACATGGAGCAGGCCAAGCTTGTCAGCGCAGAAGAGAGATGCAGAGGAGACAGATCTTCTGAAGTGTTCATCCGTAGAGGGCCACTCACGTATCCAAACATTTCCCATGAACAGCGAGAGGGGAACAACGGGTCCAAAGAAATACTATGTGAGACGCAAGACAAAATTGGGTAAGAACCAGAATAACAAACAGAAGAAGGATAGGTATAGCAAAGTTCTTGAAAGAATATAATTGAACAATAAGCAACAAAAAACAGAAAAAGTACCTATAAAACAGATAGCAGGCAGGGCAATGTTCCAAGTCAATAGATATAAGGAAATGCAAGCGTTCAAAAGACTGACCAAAACTGCCATTTCAGATGAGGATGACTGACAAATTAAATCATGCTGATTTCTACATATCTTTTCTGGGGACTAAAGTGGAGTGATCTCCCAGCAGATTTCCTAGCCATCATGGTACCAGGGTGCTTTTATGCACTTTCCATAAAGTGGCAAAAAAATTGGAGAATTCAAAGAGTTCAAAAAAGGGACACCTTTGGTGCAGCCTTGTAAAAGAGTGAGACCCAAAATTGTGAGAGGAAGTTTCATCAGTGAGCCTTTAAGAAAATCTGGCAGGTAATAAAACACTCTACAGCCCACCCAATCCCAATCTTTACCAGTTTTTATTCGATCCTCTGCTACTCCACTCAGTGCTGGGAGGCAAGTAAATACTAGGTACTTCTGGGTAAGATGAAGCATGCGACAGCACCAGGCCAATCAGTGTTGCCACATGGGTAGTTCATAGCCTTGTGTAAGCTACAACTAAAGCAACCTATAACTCTCACAGGACTTTTCTTTGCCTTTAGTCTCTGAATATAGAGGTTCAGCAGCAAAAGAAAAGGTAAGCATATGCTATTGAGGAGGGTTAATTTAACCTTCCTAGCGGTCTGATTATGTCAGTATTTCTGTGCTCAAAGCGGTACAATTTTTTGCATGAAAATATGTAGTTTTTTTATTGTAGGCCTGTAATTTTTAGGAATAACTCACTGAAATATTTCCGAATAAGAGTCTAGTAAAAATCCCAGGCATGTTAAAATTTGAAACACGAAATCATAAATTATAATTTAATAAATAATCATAAAAAATAATAATATAATAATAAATTTAATTCAATAATATAATCAAACCAAAAACAATGAAATTTGAATTATAGCGCCAAGTTTGCACATCACTGAGTAAAGTCGCAAAATCGTTTTCAGTGTCTGATGAATTTCCTCACAAATCATTATCACTCAATTCTGCAAGTGGTTCTAATTTACTATCGCTGTTCTCTAGCTGGCCTAAAACCACCTTTGACATAAAGGGACGCTTTTTGGACGCCATGGACATTTCTCAGTTTCAAGGCAGAAAGAACAGTAAAAATGCAGGCAGGGCACAGGACAAAGCACTAGGACAAAATGTATGTGAAATGGTTTGATACAGTAATATTTTACTATGTGATTTTAGTGTATTTAGTGAATGTCACTTTTTGACATTTTTAAATTTCCTGCCAGTTCCGTCCCCGTATGTCCTGACGTTGCAGGGAACGGAACTCAGAAGACAGATACCGGCATCAGCCGCAGGACATGGCCGGGGAGGCTGCAAGGGGGACATCGCGGGAGCACAGGACAAGGTAAGTGCAGAAGGGATCCCGGAGCAACGCTGCAGAGTATTCCTGAGTGTAGCTCGGGGTTACTCCCCTTGTGGCAATAACCATGCCTGCAGATCGATTGCTCAGGAATTGCATCATGGGATGCAGCTGGGAGATGCATGCCTATACTCCATTGTGAGGAACTGGATGTAATTATGGGGCTTTCAGGCAGCACTGGACACACAAAAGGGGGAGATTTACTAAAGCTGCAGCACTTGGAATCTGGTGCAGCTGTGCAAGGTAGCCAATCAGCTTCTAACTTCAGCTTGTACAATTAACCTTTGACAATAAAACCTAAAAGCTCATTAGTTCCTATGCAGTGCTGTACTGGACTTTGCACGCTCCAGTTTTAGCAAATTTCCTCCATATTGTAAGCAGAAGAAATTCCATTTTTGCTCTGGCTGCTATTCTGCTGGGTTACTTTTCCAACAAGTGGAACAACTTCGAAGAAAAGACAAAATCAGTAATATTTAGCTGTTGTTTAGATGTAGTCCTGTACCCATGCTAAATACATTTCTGTCTCAAATGAAAAAGCTATAAAATCCATCATATCTATTGCATAGAGAAGACTGGTATCTTGTACTGTGGCAGTTTGACGGGGGGGGTGGCTACTGAAGTTTGTCACCATTTCACAGGTGCATGCAAATTTAAGGTTTGACATGTTGGGTGTCTATTACTCAGTGCAACCTTGTCTTTTAAATTTTACCAAAAAAAATAGTAATTTGTACCTTAAAATTAACTTCGGTGTGTTTTTTTAATTGAAATTTTGCATTTCCGAGACCTTTGCAGTAATATGTTAAAAAAAAAAAAAAACTACCACTTTTTTATTCTCCAAGGTGTCTGCTTTCAAAAAATCCAGAAAATATATAATGTGTTGGTGATTTTATGTAATCATCAGGCCTAACATGTGCAAAAAAAAAAAAAAAAACCACACACACAAAAAACTGCTCTGGCAAAAAAGGGTTAAATGATGAACAGACTAACACAAACCAGTCCAAAAAAAAACTTAAAATGGTTTTCCTTCAACTGCTATATAAAAGTGTGCACCCCCAAGGAGGTGCTCTAACAAGAATAGAGAAACTTCAATAATGGAGCCCTAGTTCCAGAAAGTGTTCATGTTCTCCTGATAGACTTACATATGCACAAAAACATTCACACTGGCTTCTGAAAAGAAAAAGAAAAAAAAGGAAAAATAATGTATGGTAACCCAAGACAGCTTGTGTACGCACAACACAGCTCTGCATGTTCTTACTGCTCTACCTTTTCTGCAAGTGTCCCTAGAGCAGTGGCTGCTATGGGGGCACTTATGTGGGCGCGCTCCCCGCATTTTTTTTACCTTAAAGAAGGAAATATATTAAAAGGATTTTTTTTAAAATAAACATTTCATACTTACGTGCTCCGTGGGATGGTTTTGCAGAGTGCAGCCTCGATCCTCTTCTTCTTGGGTCCCCCGCCAGCACTCCTGCCCCCCTCGACCAGTGCCCCCAATAGTAAGCAGCTTGCTATGGGGGCACTAGTGCTTGCTTGCTCTTGAACCTCGCTCTATGCATCTATAAAACACATAGAGGTGCAACTCAACCCTATCCCCGGTCTCTCCTCATTGGCTCACTGGCTCTGATTGATCATTGCATTTGATCATCGCTGACCGTTGTTTTCTGTTGGGGGGCGTTTGGCTGCAGTCCGCCTGTCAGAACACAATAGCTCAGCAGGGAGTACAGTGAACTGCTTCCAAGCGCTACAGTTTTTTTTTGTTCAGCCACTGGGTTGCACGAAAAAAAAAAAAACGATGGTGTGTACCCAGCTTGAGTCTTTCAAGAGGCATTCAATCATTAGTGGTTTCAATATATTAATATGACAAACAAGCTGATGGCATCCTTTTCAACCAAGTCACTCCTCCAGGGTACAGATTGTTTGACCTCCCGCATCTCTTGGGCAAAAGTGGAAGTACAGTCAGGTCCATAAATATTGGGACATCAACACAATTCTAACATTTTTGGCTCTATACACCACCAAAATGGATTTGAAATGAAACAAACAAGATGTGCTTTAACTGCAGACTGTCAGCTTTAATTTGAGGGTATTTACATCCAAATCAGGTGAACGGTGTAGGAATTACATCAGTTTGTATATGTGTCTCCCACTTGTTAAGGGACCAAAAGTAATGGGACAATTGGCTTCTCAGCTGTTTCATGGCCAGGTGTGTGTTATTCCCTCATTATCCCAATTACAATGAGCAGATAAAAGGTCCAGTGTTCATTTCAAGTGTGCTATTTGCATTTGGAATCTGTTGCTGTCAACTCTCAAGATAAGATCCAAAGAGCTGTCACTATCAGTGAAGCAAGCCATCATTAGGCTAAAAAAAACAAAACAAACCCATCAGAGAGATAGCAAAAACATTAGGCATGGCCAAAACAACTGTTTGGAACATTCTTAAAAAGAAGGAACGCACCGGTGAGCTCAGCAACACCAAAAGACCCGGAAGACCACGGAAAACAACTGTGGTGGATGACCGAAGAATTCTTTCCCTAGTGAAGAAAACACCCTTCACAACAGTTGGCCAGATCAAGAACACTCTCCAGGAGGTAGGTGTATGTGTGTCAAAGTCAACAATCAAGAGAAGACTTCACCAGAGTGAATACAGAGGGTTCACCACAAGATGTAAACCATTGGTGAGCCTCAAAAACAGGAAGGCCAGATTAGAGTTTGCCAAACGACATCTAAAAAAGCCTTGACAGTTCTGGAACAACATCCTATGGACAGATGAGACCAAGATCAACTTGTACCAGAGTGATGGGAAGAGAAGAGTATGGAGAAGGAAAGGAACTGCTCATGATCCTAAGCATACCACCTCATCAGTGAAGCATGGTGGTGGTAGTGTCATGGCGTGGGCATGTATGGCTGCAAATGGAACTGGTTCTCTTGTATTTATTGATGATGTGACTGCTGACAAAAGCAGCAGGATGAATTCTGAAGTGTTTTGGACAATATTATCTGCTCATATTCAGCCAAATGCTTCAGAACTCATTGGACGCCGCTTCACAGTGCAGATGGACAATGACCCAAAGCATACTGCAAAAGCAACCAAAGAGTTTTTTAAGGGAAAGAAGTGGAATGTTATGCAATGGCCAAGTCAATCACCTGACCTGAATCCGATTGAGCATGCATTTCACTTGCTGAAGACAAAACTGAAGGAAAAATGCCCCAAGAACAAGCAGGAACTGAAGACAGTTGCAGTAGAGGCCTGGCAGAGCATCGCCAGAGATGAAACAACGTCTGGTGATGTCTATGCGTTCCAGACTTCAGGCTGTAATTGACTGCAAAGGATTTACAACCAAGTATTAAAAAAAAGTTTGATTTATGATTATTATTCTGTCCCATTACTTTTGGTCCCTTAACAAGTGGGAGGCACATATGCAAACTGTTGTAATTCCTACACCGTTCACCTGATTTGGATGTAAATACCCTCAAATTAAAG